GGGAGCCGAGGTCCACGGTGAGGGACTTAGACGACATCACAAAGTCGAAGCTGGAGCTGGAGGCCCTCGTACGTGACGGGATCCCCCAGGTCTCAGGCGGTCCTGTGCCGGTTTGTTCCCACCACCTTCATCCCTCCCATCACACCATATTCCTGTCTTCCAACGTTGTGAAAAAAGAAACGGTTTATTTTTTTGTAAGAGTTACTAATATCTGGTTTCTCCCCTTTGAACAAGCTTTTATTTATAGAGTCTCATAAGGAAGTGCAAGGCTATGTTTTTACAGTGAAAACCCAGGCAGGTTACTAACCCTGAAGGTCGCACGTGTGAAGCATGAGCGAAAGAGTGCGTTTGGGAAATCTTCACAAGACCCTCGGCATCACGTAATATCGCAGCCCTTGGTCATAATCCTACGTGAGCCATGCAGATCACGTATTGCACCTAAGAGAAATACTCCTTTAAAAACCCAGGACCAATTCTATTGTTATTAAACTGTCTCAGTAGTCAAGACAGATGAAGTTACATAAATTCACTTAGTAAGGATGTTCTACTGAAATGTTTTAACAATGTTTAACTGACAGACATTTAAGTGATACTCTCAAACAAAGTGAATAAAGTAATTTTCTGGCTCTGCGAGAAAAGGGTTCCTGTCCAGTGCCACTGATCTTTCTGAGAAAGCGCACCACGTTAGCAGGGAAAGGATGCAGGCCATGTACAGGAAGCTGTTCTCCTTGCTTTTCGGCTGTCAGCCGGCCCCTGGAAGCCGGGCTTCTCTGGAAGGTGCAGCCCGCGTGCTTCCTGACACGGTCACACTGGTCGGCAGGTGTGTGGAGTCTGAGATCAAGGGCACTTCCAGCCCTACCGGCGTCAGCAACTGCTTGTGGTCCGATTTCCAGTTAAGATGCCAACTTCGTTTGCTGTCGCCATTGTGGTGTCAGTGGTTGCCCAGGCAAAGAACACAGTCGATTCACCTCTGAAAATTCTCCTTCTGGGTTCTCTCTTTAGGGTCTTTGGACTTAAAGCTTTGCTGTTGGGCAAAAGCAAGGGCATCTATCTTGCTCCCCAAATGGAGCTCAACACGCAAAGCGATGATCACAAATGGTTCCCCGAAGTACTAATAAGGGCCACAGAAAGATCAAGAAGTGAAAACCCTGTTGTTCTCAGAGGCAAGGTGAGCCACTGTCCACAGAGCTTCTGGGAAAACTGTCAGCGAGAAAGCCTGCTGTGTCATAACTCATTGCTTTCTCTACCAGTTCCAGCTTTTGTCCAGATCCTTTTGTGACAACTGGTAAACACTAGGTTAGTGACGAGGCGTCCTCCCACCTGGTCTGCATGGAGCCAAGTTTCTGTTAGTTTGTCCCACTCGTTTGTATAATGACATTCTCACGGGCTTCACTGCCTTAGCCTGGGTGACCTCAGCACACCCACCCCCATGATCCAGACAATGTGACTGCTTCCTGGGGCTTCTGACACACAGTGGCTACTGTCATGAAGCTATCCGCACAGTGTTAACAGTTTGAACTTATAAAATGTTCTTCCAACAGTCCATATGGTTGTCTTCAGTCAAGATTTGGTCATCTGGTTTCATATCCAATCACCAAGTCCTGTTGACTCGTTTTTTTTTATTCTTTTTTTGGTCCTGTTTTGTTCTAAATGTTCACCCATTGCTTTCTAACTACCCTAAATCTCAGTGCCTTAAACAATAATTTATCTATCACATGTCTAAGGGTAGGTTGAAGTTGCCTGAGGTCAGCTAGACTTGGCTGGGAGGCTCAGCTGGGGCATCTATGCTCCACATCTCTCACCTGCCTTGGAAGAGCAGCCGAGCCAAAGCAAGTTCTTCTCAGGGCAATGTTGACTCTGCTTCCCAACTGTCACCATCCTAGGTGACGTCAGTACCATCACTTTCTTGCCTGGATTATAGCGTTTCAATCCGAACATCTCCTCCCAACAGCTGGTCTCCCTGCATCCTTCCCAATCTGTTCCCCTACTGCAGCGTCACCTTTAAAAAATACAATCCTGCTTAAAAACTTCAATAGCTTCTCACAGTCCTTAGGCCAAGGCTCCCAGGACCTTCTGCAGTGTGGCCCTGCCTTTCTACCCATCCTTGCCTGCTGGCCATCTGGGCTTCCTTAGTTCCTTGCATCGCACTTTCCCTTCTGATTCAGGGCCTTGCACATGCTGTTCCTTCCGCCTGGAGAGCTCCTCTTCTTACTCTGTCGGCCAATTCCTCATCATTTCATCTTAAACTCAAATCTTCCTTCCTCGGGGAGGCCTTCCCTGAGCCTCACCATTAGTCCTAGAGCGCCTGTGAAGGCAGAGGCTGCATCTTGGTCACTGGTCTCTCCCTGACACCTGGCACCAGCTGATTCTCGGTCAATACCACATGAATTGAAAGATGAGAGAGGCACAGGGGAAAGAGCCCAGATTTGCAAATGACCTGGAGATGCTTAGGATCTTAGCTTTCACACCTGCAGACTTGGGGGTTAGCCTAGGTAAAGTTTTTTTTTTTTTTTTTTTTAAATATATCTTTATTGATTTCAGAGAGAGGAATGGAGAGGGAGAGAGACAGAAACAACAATGATGAGAAAGTCATTGATCAAGCCCACAACCGGGCATGTGCCCTGACCGGGAATCGAACCCTGATTGCCTGGATCCCAGGTGGACGCTCAACCGCTGAGCTATGCCTGGCTGGGCAGGCTAGGTAAAGTTTAATGTGTGATCTCTGACGCTTTGTCATCTTTACAGACTTCTTCCCAGTCTGCCCCCTTTGCTCTCAGAGGTCAGGCTGCACTTTTGGTTGTACTCAGGGGCTCGAGATGTTGGGTGAGACTATGGATGAAGGGAATTAGAGGTACCTGCTGCTGGGTGGCAGGGCGGAGTAAATAAAATGCAAGCTCTGACAACTCCATGATGACCTTTCGGTTCCACAGTCCACAGAACAATAGCTACCAGAACAACAGCGGTGCACTTGGCCATGTTTTCCCGGTATTACAGCATCGTAGCCAGACCAATCAAGTGTTATCTCTGAAGGCCTGGGGAACAGCCAAGCTTCATCAGTGGTTTCTATCTCAGAAGGTAACTTACAGTAGTTTTTATTTGCTAAATGTTGACACTGGAAAGTAATCTCTAGCCTGCAGCCTAAACCCCACCTTCAGAACAGTCACACACAGTCCTGTGAGGCTGACCATCAATCCCCTCACCCAAGCCCCTCAGTAGAGGCCCAGCCAAGCAAGTGGAATGCTCTGCTATAGGAGCCCAAGTGGCTGTCCCCCGGGAATATCACTTTGCTCAAAGCTCTGCAGCCAACCTGGGGTCCTCTGAGTTGGAAAATACTCAGTACAAGGCTCTGCCTGCTCTGCCTGCACCTGATTAGCTCTGCTTATTAAGGCCTCGGGTATGTTCGAGCTCATTTGTGTGCTTTAATGAACATAAAAGCAACCTGCTGTTAAAAGGCCTGCGGAACTAGTCAAGTTTGCTGGGTCCACTGTCTCTGTGACTAAAACGTGGAGAAAATGTCTCCTATGGGGTTGTTAGCCTGCTGGAAATGCAGGGTTTGTAGGGAAGAGGCTCATATGTGACCTCAGGGGTTTCCAAGCAGCAGCTGCGTTATGAGTATAAATCAGAGGTGACACTTGGCAGCCAGCACTGCTGTTGGATGTAGTTGCTGCTGAACGGCCGTGAGCTGTACTGATACAGAGTGGAAAGTGACCCAGAGTCACCCCCCCGAGGCTGGGAGACTCTAACCCCAGTGCAGTCAGTGGGAGGGGAGAGAACACTTCCCACATTGCTGACACAGGCCATCTGCTGAACGTTTATTGTCACACTGCAGTCCTGAGACTGTGAGGACTGTTTAAAGGGGTAACATCTGGGACCTACTAAGAACTGCCTAATCGCACAGGTGCAGGAGACTTCATCCATGTGCAAAAGGATTCTGAAGTCACAAGTTGTATTGCCAAAAAGATTGAATACATGTTCAATCTATTTTGAAGGCACTGTTACAATATCTACAATCCATAGATGAGATGAGCAGACATGGTCTTTAAACATGAGTGTGAGGACGTGGCCCCTGATTGCTCATGCTTGACTCACGTGAATTAAAATGATGGGGTGGGGGAGGGGCAGTTCAGTGGCATGTTGGTGACACTGTCACAGCCATTTTAGAACCTGTAAATATTTACATGAGCCTGTCCCAAACCTAGACACATAAATAATGAATTTACTTAGTACTGTTTATAAAAGGAAACAAAGAATTACTCAGGGCCTGGTCCCTCATAAAATCTCCAAGAAGGCAAGTAAGTTATTTAAGACCTCTGCCCATGTTTTGAACTGATATATTTTCAAGGATAAGTCCATACAATTTTTTTTTTTTTTTTACCTGTAACATACTCAAAGAGAAGTTTCCTGAGCTGGCTAAACATTAAAACACTAGGAGAGCTTTAAAAATGTATATATAAATTATTGTGCTTCAGTTCTTACTAAGTCAGAATCCAAGGGGAGGGAAGCACGGAGAAAATTTCTTTTCAAAAACTCTCAACATCTCCAGGAGGTTCAGACCCAGTAGGTGAGCTCAGAAGGCCAGCGTTGGAAGCAGTGCTGACAGCAGCACTTCTTGAACTTCAGGGAACTGCAGTTACCTCCAGCGTCGTTCTGATTCAAAAGGTTTGGAGTATGGCTTGAGCTTCTGCCCCCAGGCAGTGCTGACCCTCAGATCTCTCCGAGCAGCCGGGGGTAGAGTACCCTATCTCTAGGTATGTATCCACCTGCATGCCATCCAAGTGGTTGCACTGGGCCTAGGTATCAATTGCAGGGTGCACCCTCTGCCCCTCAGGCCCTGCCCTCCTCCCTGCTGTTTCCTAAATCTCTTCTGGTGCCTGGGCCTGCTTTCACAAAGGGAGGACTCAGCTCGGGGCTGGAGCCTCCCTCCTGGGACCTCCACCACCCTCTGCAGGGCCTGCAGCAGCAGCAAACACATGCATTAATCGGGATGAGTATATCTGGTGTAGCAGGCTTAGGGAGACAATCCTGTTTATTGTTGAGGGCTAAGAAACAAGGTCTGGGGATGCTCTACAGAGGTGATGAGCTGCTAAAGAGGGGTGGGTGGAGAGGAGACACAATGATACACACCATTATTCTGAGTGAGCACCAGCTCTTCATTCTAACACTCGAACCAAGGAGGGACAGCCACCCTTTTCACTAAGGCCACAGAAGAATGGAAACCTCACTCAATTAATCAGTTCCTACAGGGCAGGCTGAGCAAGAGGTTATTATTTTAAGCTGATGCAAGAGGCCACTCGTGGTCCATTTGGAGCCCCAGTCCTAAGCACAGAGTGGATGCTGAAGGTGGTCCATGGTTGCTGATGGTGGCTGGTGGTGGTGGTCCTTAGGTCTTGGGCTTTTCTTGATTCTCAATGATAAGCTTGTCAGTCGAATACAGTTGGCCAATGTGGACCTGAAGGCAAGGAAAAGAGAGATTAGGAACCATGGGACTCCATTAGCTCTGAAGGGTCAGAAAGAGCATTTCTAATATTTAAATGTAAGTGTTTTCTGCTGGGAACTGCACTGTGGGGCAAAGTGTAGCCATCAGATATGCCTTTGGAATTCCCTGTGCTTTGGAGCTGAGTGGGATATATTGGCGAGCCAAGGGCTGCGCAGTGAAGATAGAGAGACAGGGCAGGTTTCTTTCTTTCTTTCTTTTTAAAAAAATATGTCCTTATTGATTTCAGAGGAAGGGAGTGATAGAAACATCAACGATGAGAGGGTCATTGATCGGCTGCCTCCGGCATGCCCCCCCACCCCCTGGGGACTGAGCCCGCAACCCAGGCATGTGCCTTGACTGGGAATTAAACTCATGGATCATAGGTCGGTGCTCAACTGCTAAGCCATGATGGCCAGGCAGGGTTCTTTCTTATAAGTCAAAGGCTGGTTGCCTACAGCAGCAACAAATACATATTTGTTGGCTGAAAGATCCAACAAACCCTCTAGGAGGCCTGGAAGGACAGCCACAGCTCCTGGTCTTGGGCAGACAAGCAGTGAGTACCTATCATACCGGACACTGGCGTCTAGGAGCAGAGACAGACAACGATGGAGATAACTGCCCTATGAGCTGTGGGTGCCAGCAAAAAGGGCAGGACGCAGGACTAGAGCAACTTAGGAGGAGATGGGACTCAGCCTGAGAAGCAGGAAGACTTCTCTGAGACGGACCTTAAGCAAGGCCTCAGGAGTACAGTGGGCTGCGAAGTGGGGGGGCGGGGAGGGAGAAGCACATTCCAGATGGAGGCAGCTGGACAGGAAGGCCCCTGATGCATTTGGGCTTGTGGAGAATGTCAAAGACATCACAGGCAGTGAGTGTGGATGCGCCGGAGTAGAGAGAGTACAAGGTAGGCGAGGGCCAGGTCATGGATGCTGACTCAATCTGAGGAAAATTTTAAAATGTTAAAAATAGAAGGTGGACTTGGATTTGTGGTTCAAGATCACTTTATCTCATTGTGAAGGCATGAGCCCAACAAGAGTGCACGTGAGGGATGGCTTTGGCTTGAACTAAGCAGGATCAGGCCAGAGAATTACTTGGGTGACATACAAAACGGGGAATCAAACAATAGTTAAGACTGACTGGTGTAGATGCGATAAGAATCACTACTCGCATTTTTTAGTGAGGAAAGAAGGCTCAGAGAAGTCAATCCAGAGAGGAGCAGGATTGAATATGACCAGTGCTTTCTCAGCGCTGCCCCTCTCCCAGCCCCCTAACCAGTGCTGGTCTCTACAACAGAAACTCCATGTCACTGTACACAGCTGCAGTACCTTCAAACACTCCAATGAAGGGGCGCAACAGCATATTGATTAAAATATGAGGTCACCACACATGCAATCAGGGCTGCCCAATATCCATCTATCTCTTATTTCTTTAAACTTTATCTTTATTGTTGAAAGTATTACAGATGTCCCCTTTTCCCCCCATTGATCCCCTCCACCCTGCATCCGCCCTACCCCCAGGCCTTCCCTACACCAATGTCTGTGTCCATAGGTTATGCTTCTGAGCATGTAAGTTCTTTGATCAATCTCTCCCCACCCACTCCCCCACCCTCACCTTCCCTCTGAGATCCCTGTCTGTTCCATGCTTCTGTGTCCCTGGATCTATTTTGTTCATCAGCTTATTTTGTTCATTAGATTACACATATCAGTGAGATCACATGGTACTTGTTTTTCTCTGACTGGCTTATTTCACTTAGCATAATACTCTCCAGGTCCCTCCATGCTGTCCCAAAGGATAAGAGATCCTTCTTCTTTACAGCTGCATAGTATTCCATGGTGTGAATGTCCCACAGCTTTTTATCTACTCATCTACTGATGGCCACTTGGGCTGTTTGCAGATCTTAGCTATTGTAAATTGTGCTGCTATGAACATAGGGGTGCATAAGTTCTTTCTGATGAGTGTTTCAGGATTCTTAGGATATATTCCTAGAAGTGGGATCACTGGGTCAAATGGCAGTTCAATTTCTAATTTTTTGAGGAAACTCCATACTGTTTTCCATAGTAACTGCTCTAATCTGCATTCCCACCAGCAGTGGACTAAGGTTCCCCTTTCTCCACACCCTTGCCAGCATTTGTTTTTTGTTGATTTGTTGATGGAGACATTTAGATAGGTGTGAAGTGATATCTCATTGTGGTTTTAATTTGCACTCTCTGATGATTAGCGATGCTGAGCATTTTTACATGCGTCTCTTGGCCATGTGTATGTCCTTTTTGGAGAAGTGTGCATTCAGGTCCTTTGCCCATTTTTTAATTGGATTGTCCGTCTTCCTCTTGTTAAGTTGTATGAGTTCTTTGTACACTTTGGGAATTAGCCCCTTATCAGATGCATCCTTGGCAAATATGTTCTCCCATACCATGGGCTCTCTTTTCGTTTTGTTGATGGTTTCTTTTGCAGTGCAGAAGCTTTTTAGTTTGAAGTAGTCCCATTTGTTTATTTTCTCTTTTGTTCTCTTTTAAAATGTGTGTGTATGCATACAAACACACAGTATTTTAATTTGAAATTATAACTTGCTTTTATTACTTATCTTTGAAGATTTTTTATTGATTTTTAGAGAGTGGAAGGCAGAGGGTGAGAAAACCATCCATGTGATAGTGTAACATTGATTGGCTGCCTCCTGCAGGGCCCCTACTGGGGATCAAGCCAGCAACCGGGGTATGTGCCCCTGAATTGAAACGGCAACCTTGTAGTGCATGGGATGACACCCAACCAACTAAGCCACAATGGCCACAGAACTACTTAACTTTGTATTATAATCCTTACATCATTAACTGTTCTTTGAAAGAATATTTTTAATAACTGCATAACATTCCATTGTAAAGATGTACCATAATTTATTTACGCATTCTCATTTATACCATTTATAAAAGTATAAGTCTTTTATCACATCTCTCATTTTTTTTTTTCTTATAAAAGGTTTTTTGAAGTGGAATTATTGGGTAAAGAGGCCTGGATATTCTTATGGTGCCTGACAGATCCTGCAAAACTACTTTCCAAAAAAGTAGTTTTTGTTCGTCCAACCAACACTCCTTTGCGCAGCACGTTCAGGCTCAGAACGAACACACCTCCTCCCACAGAACCACTGTGCCAAATGTGTGTGCTCATGGCCACCTTCTCGATGGGTGGATGAGAAGAACAGTTTCTCCTGCTGTGTGGCCCTTCTCCTCTGCTCCTGACAGAAGCTCCCACTAACATAGTTTAACATAATATCTGTTTCTCAAAGTCCATAAGGATGGAGCCTTTGGGGGACAGGTACTCTCTTGCAGAAAATGGAGCTGTGATGTGGGTGACCTGTCCCAATGGGTTCCACATGAAAGGCTCCAAAGAAAGTTGAATGAAGATGAGGGGTGATCCGAAGCTCAGCTTTTAGGAAACTTTAAATCAAAACAACCCTTCAAATTTATGGTCCAGTTTGACATGTATGAATTAGATTTTTAAAATTCCATTCAGGTATGACGCTTTTATGGCCAATTGGGTGGGGAGTGGAGAATGAATTAAGATCTTAATGATGTTGAGAGGGCATAAAGATTAATATCTTTTTATCTATCCAGGCCCCGTGGTCTGACAGTTAGTCCTCTGATGGCCACCCACCCTCCTCTGTGCACAAAATTCTGACTGCCATGAGACCTTGTGTCTCGCACCTTGTGTCTTTGTTCCACCAGGAGCTACTCTACCAGGACAGACTCAATATCCATGGAGCAAAAGCCACCCACCCTTTGGGCCAGTGGTCGAAGCTTCCCTGGGTCCCCCCGTCTCCTGAAAACACTTACTACACATATCTGTGCACCCCCATGTGACAATGTCACCATCTGTGTGCCTGTCTCAGTTCCTCTGCATGAATATCAGTGGTGACAGGCAATAGGAAGAAGACTCAGCTGCCTCACAGCATGGCTGTGTCAGCCATGTAGAAGGTGCTCAGTAAGCATTCAATAAGTAAAAACCCAGAGTCTGGTATCCCTGGTAATAGGCTCGATGTCTACTAGTTCTAGGTCCTAGATCTATGAGTGACCATGAAGTACTTTGGGGGTGAGCTCCTACGGCAAATATGGAAATGATTAAGGCAAGTCAATAAACACAGTGGCAGGACCACTTACTGTGACAAAAATGTTGACCCACTGTTAAGCAAAACCAGACGATTTAAATTTGGCTCAGCAGAAGGTTGAAAGTTACAATCCAAGGCTATATGGGACTGACCCAGAGCAATTGCAGAAGAGGCAAGGGGAAAATACTCAGTTCACAAAGGGAGGAAATATTAAAATGCTACCTCAACAAGGACAATAGATGAGGCAATAAATGTTTGTGTAACAGTTCTGTTGCATTTATTTGGGGATAAAATGTGTCAGCACACATCAGGGGGCCAGCTGGGGATGGATGCTACAGTGCAAGTGACAGAGCATGTCACTTCTGAGCTGCAGTGAGAGGAACTGGTTGGTCAATTGAAGTGAGGAGGTGCAATTAGCAGCTTCAATTTATAGTCCCTCCGGAGTCCCAAAGTGGCTTACATCAGAGTGTTACTACGCGCAAACGGGTCGTTGCAGCTGATCGTACTTCTATAAGCGCTGGGAGCTGGCACTGGAGTCCATTAGGAAAATACACAGGTTACTCAACTGCAAGGAGATGGGATGGCTGGATGGCTAGAAACACTTACGGACTCTGAGGCTCATTAGACAATAACCTGCTGAGGGAAGGGGGGGGATCCCAGGGAGTAAACCTCAGACAGCGTTCTAGGTCTTCACTCTTCCCCACCCCAAGCAATGTGCTGCCTCCATCGGATTTAGACGCAGAGCAGCTGGGCTCGATCACCGGGGTGGGGGCAGGGGACACAGAAGTGGGGCCTCAGTGACATCCTGCCTCTTTCACTGGGTTATGAGGATCAAATGAGATACTAGACTTGAAGAAAATGTACCAATTGCCCCACATAC